AAAAAATCTCGCCTGCTCTGCAGGCTAGTTTGAAAAGTTCTGTAGTGCTGTATTCATGTCATGTTTACAACCTTTCCAAATTGCGAACATAAAAAAAAACAAACGAACGAACAAGAACTGGTCTTTTTCAACTACATCACACTTGTTAAATACTTAAAGTCTGTTTTGTTAAATTGATGACCAGGGTTGCAGTGTCCAACAAGGATAAGGTCAGTTTGAAACAATTTCTTTTAAACTAATTCATAATAACCAGTTTCAGATAAAAAGGTTTAAGGGAATAACAGGCTACAGCTGTTTCGAAAATGAGAAAATTTACTCTGTAGGGCTAATTGAAAAACAAGAGGTTTCAGAGAAGACCAAATCTTAAAATAAATGATCTCTTTGTTATGACAGTGGCTGCCTTGAAACCTAACCAATTTCAGTTTTTAACTGCTTACAAACTAAAAGTACATACATAAATCACAACACTGATTAAAGAGAAGTACATGTGCTTTTGCTATTTTTACGACTCAATATTTTTAATCTCCTTAAAAAGACTATCGTTTTCACAATTTCAAATTGCTTCTTCGAAAATTGTTCGCAAATTTCCAGCCAAATCGACAAAGTGCTATTCCTCAATAGTTTTATGCTCAAACTGTTTTCATTAGCATAATCAAAATTGATGAGTTCTACCCGATGGGCTTTGAATTAATTGAGACATAAATAAAGGATTTGTTACTTGAATATGTGCCGATCTATTTTTAATGGTTTTCGTTTCGTCGCAAATGCGGGCTCTACTTGTTTCCACTTTTTTCTAGATTTGAAAAGATTTCTATTAAATATTTATTCAACCAGTTACAACAGAGTGCCTGAAAAAGCACTGTTTTTATACATCTTCTTTATTCAGTAAACAAGCCATTACCTCTGACTGCAATGTTTTGACTGTTTACGAAAGTGGGAAACTGTCACACGAAGGTTGAAACAATAGCAACAAAGCGCGAACAATGCTTTCCACTCTCAAGTGTCAGAATTAAAATTTCACCCTTCCGTTCAGCTGTTCGCTCAATCTTTATTTATAAAATATAATGGCAAACTTAAAGTGTTAAACTTCGAAAGCAGTACTCAAGCACTTTGGCAATCAGTACTAACAGAATTGAAAAATTGCACTTTTCAGTCTCCAGTCTCGAATGAAACCCATACGATGGAATGAGGGAAAACTATGAAATCCATTAACTGAAGTAAATTCGCCTCATTTCAAAAATAAATCTGTAAATTTGCATCGATCTACCCCGCATGTAATCCATAATTGCAGCGCTAAGCGCCAAAGCTGATGATGAATAAAAGCTGCTGGTGAAAATATCTCCGCAATATTTCCGATTTTGCGTTAATTCAGTGCTACTAAAATTAATGTCATGGAACATACCTGGTGCAATGAGCCTTGTAATATTCGTATGAATATCAGTGAACCATTGATTCGTTGCTGAAGTATCTTTCCCCCGCAGTATGCACGCTGATCTGGCGTCGGGATTATAAAGCTCGAACGTTCTTCCATGATTTTCAATCTTGGGCGAAACGTGCCTCGTCACGAAGCACAACTTGAGAGGTATTTTCTTCACTTCGATACAATTTGGCTTGCCCTCCGAAGATCCTTCACCTTCGCCATTCGTACTCGCATTTGCAGCAGCATTAGCGTTCAATTCGGCCGTGCGATGAAAATAAGGTGTCACTTCTTTCACATACTTCACAGTCAAATCAACTTCTTTGCCTGCACGTTTCAGCGCCCTCACCGCTTCATCGTGGGTAGCGTTTCGGAGGTCTTCTCCATTTACCGCCAAAATCGCGTCCCCTATGTACAAACTCTCTGTCTGATCCGCAGCTAACCCTTTGAAAATCTTCGATATGAGAATAGGCATCTTGTTTTCCTTTCCACCTTTGATACTTATCCCCAAACCGCCAACTTCTTGCTTTATCACTCGCACAGTCCGGATTTGGTCCGCGATCGTTTGCGGTGGTTCGACGTGGTCGTTCGCTTCTGGTGAACGAGGAGGAGTCGGTGAGGGCGGTTGGCCATTAACTAAAGAATTATCTTCTACATTAAGAGTCAAAACATCGTCATCGAGGGTGGCTAACACTCGTTTCCATCCATCTTTAGTGAAAATTTCTAACATTCCCGAGCGCGTAGTGGCCGCCATTTTTGGCCTCGCATTCCCCTCTTGTGATGACCTTCCCGCTGAGCTGTACTGAGCTGAGCTAAAGAGTCTGGTAATGAGTGGCTGAGAAAAAATTGGGAATGAAAGAAAGCGAAACTTCCGCTCTTTGACAAGATCCTCTTTGCTTCTTTTTGCGGTACGAAGCATATAAAAGAAAGTATTGAAAGAAAAGGCTCCATTTGCAGGGTGGACGAAACGTTAAAAAACTTAAGAGTACCAATAAACCTTTTTCACAAATGTTTTCGTCTCTTCCTCTTCGCTTTCCATTCTTCAGTGCTTCTAGATCCCCTTACGATACAAGCAGAAACACAGATTAAAAAGCCGATTTACCTAACTGGATTAAAATTGAAGAGTTAATTGCCCATTTTTTATAGTCACGAACCAATGCTAAATTCAGTTTCTGACGAATGTTTGACAAAGGGTCACTGAGAAAATCTATGACTTTTGAGGATAGGAAACCGAATAACTGACAGTTCCAAAAGAAAATAATCTCTTGAACTTATTAAGGGTCTCTAAAACTGATTTTATTTAGGTCTGTTATATTCAAAATTTTTCGATGAGCCCCTTTTCGTGCCAATCTTAATCAATTTTTATACCCAATCACCAGACCGTAAAATACAGAGTGATATGCATAAACTATTTATCAGCAAAAGTTCATTAATAAAAATGTCAACATTATCATAACAGTCGACATAATGTATATTTATTAATTGGAGCTAACGCGTTTTAGCGCGAAACAAGAGAGACAAGAGAGCAAAACTGAAGGCAGATTCTTTCGGGTTCGGCATATGAGAAGTATTTGTAGTTCTTCCGATAAAAAAGGGGAATCAAATCGTTCGGGTCTCCAAATTTCTGGAACGATACAAGTCAAGGTATAACACTAGAAAAAGAGGAGGTAATTATGCTTGGGTCTTGGGAACTGGTCCACTGCTTCAGTAAACACAGTTCACGGAGGCTTGCCGGACAACAGAACAATGAGGAGGGCTCCTTGAGTTGCTTAGAAATTACAACTATTAAGTCCTTCTTTACCGTTTCCCTCCACTAGCTGTATAGGCTACATGTAACGCTTTTTTCAGTTCTCTTTCAGTCGTTTGGAAGTGAAGAGTTTGCTGAGAACGGTCAAGAAAAAGATGAAACAATGAGTTTCGTCATCTTTATCAGTTGCCTTGCTGGATGTATGATTCCACACTTGGTGTTTTCCGCCAACCAGTCGGTAAGTTTTACCTTGAAATTAAGGCAAACAAAATTTCCAACAAGCTTTCTCTGCGTGGCAAACCGTATTGACTACACCCGCATACTGATGTACAAGAAAACAGAGAAGATATAATAATACAGACTAACACTTTTGTACGCATTTTAATTCAAACGTTATTTTAATTCATCTTTAATGGTAGACACGCTTGTAAAGTTGCGCGAAATTACATTGTACTCATATCAATCAAAATAGCACAAAATGTTGCGATAAGAGACAGCTTTGTGAACTTAGACATGCATTCAAAGTGCAAAAGTCTGCCCTTAAAGTTTCTAATCACTTCAACTTAGTTAATTCGCTGGATTCTGAAAACCTTCCAATACTTAATCATAATGATATAGCTCAGGCTCTAAGCAAGAGTTCACTGGATCTGAAATCAGACTCTTTTGAGAACTAATGCTCATTCTAGCTAAAAGTACTTGAGATTGGGAAAAGAGTGTACTTTACAAAGTAAACTCCTAGTTAGCATACGTTTCTTTTGAAAATTTGGCGACACATTCCCCATTGAATATACAATTTTCTAGAAACTTCTGTCGGAAAACCTGTGCGCTGAACTAGTTCGATCGCATCGTAAGCAAACTTTCCTTTGTGGAGTTGAGGCGCACAAAGAGAAAATGGAGGGAGTGGGGGGCGAAAATCTTTTGACAACCGGCAGTGATGCAGTGTACCGTTGATTTTATAAAGTCTGAAGAGATAACAGAATGAATGTACAGGAATTAAAGACTACAAAATAAATTTTCAATTGGGTCTGTTTATCTCACCTTTCAAGACACAGCCATCTGTGACTCCATCGACTTGCGCAGCAAGTGGCGTACCTGGTGTCCCTGGGGTACCCGGGCTCAATGGAAAAGATGGGGCGAAGGGTGACCGCGGGCCTACGGGAGCCCCCGGTAAAACTGGATCTCAGGGCCCCGAAGGGGCCAAAGGCGCTAAAGGAGAACAGAATGTCCAGGCCCCTCAGAGAAACTGGAAACAATGCGCGTGGAAGAGCCTTAATGATGGGAGAGACTATGGGCTGATAAAGGCAAGAAAATTTTATTGAATTAATAAAAATGTCTAGCATTCCCAAAATTATTACAGGAATCTCAGTGAACTCTTCATGTTGCATTAATTATGGCTGAAGAAGGCATACAAACAGCAACTTAAATACGTTTTGCTTTCAGGACTGTGTTTTTACCAAGCTTGCCTATGATACAGCCTTGAAAGTGGAGTACAACGGTGACTACAGAATAGCTTACTGCCTGGATTGCTGTAAGCGATGGTACTTCACCTTTGATGGTGCTGAGTGTAAAGGTCCCCTAGCCATTGATGGTCTTATCCATATTTATCGAAACAACGGCAAAACGGACACCAATATACACAAAACAACTTATATTGGAGGATACTGCCAGGGAATTTCTGCAGGAACCGTCCGAGTGGGAATAAATGTGGGGGACTGTGTGGGGAAGAAATCCGGGTCTGATGCCTATACCGGGTATAACTCCGTGACCCGGATCATGATCGAGGAGGTGCCTCCACCCCAGAAATAGCTGCAAAGAAACACAGAAAGCCCCAAACAGCCGCAGTTTGTTTGCTTATCATAAACAACAAGTTCGCTTGTAGTTTGATGTAAATTAGATGCGGAATATCAGTATAATAAACAAAGGGATTTATATCTAACAGCAATTAAAAGGTTTTAAAGCATTTGCGAGTATTCGTCAATGTGTGGATGAAAATAGAGCAGAGAGATACTCTCAAGTGTGCTAACCGATTCAACTTAATTAAGCCTCAAGCAGTCGAACTCAATTTTCACTATGCACCAAGATATTTGATCCTATTTTTAATCTACCTCCTATTTCACTGAATCAATTAATAAGTTTCACACCAAATAATCATTTTTCAGTATTTGAATTCTCAAGAAGTCAATACTTTCCAGTTTAAAAATCAGGAATCGTGACATCAGATGGTGAACTAGTCACGCGGGCAACACCCGTGGAACGGGTTCGTAGCGCAATGCAAGCTGTCACGTGGGTTATTTAATTTCTACCCGGGAGCGAAGTAAATATCGGAGAATAATCGAGGACAAGCTAGTAAAAACAAATGAAATACAGTGAGATTGATGTTTTGCTAATAGATATCTTGTATGTACACGGCGTCCGCTTTGTCCCTCCCTCCTTCTTTACAAAGATGCGAAAATACTGGTGGTTCTTCAGATCTTAGGTTATTTTGAGAAATATTTTGACACGTCAGATAGAAAGCCCGCGTAAAATTAAAATCCCTAAGTTTGTTCATGGTTAAATTGTTATAAGAAGCTGAAAAGGGGAGTTAAAAAAAGCTTTATAGTTTTTAGGGGCCGATTTTAGCTTCGTTACAATTAGAGCGACCTAAAAAAGTCAAACAGTTTAATAATACAACACCGTTGGGTAATTTTTCTTCAAAATAAATGCCTTGCTGGAAAAACCCGAATAATTAACATTGTACACTAACATCCCTTCTAAGATCGACAATGATGTAACAAATAGAAAAAAAGAAATCCCTTCACAGGCTGGTGTCCCCGTTTACAGGTATACTTTTCGTAACAAACGCTTGGCGAAGATTTAACCCAAAACAAGAGATCAGGGTCTCTTGCCCAAAATATTTAGCTCTTATTAACCGAGCTGGAGGTCTGTATGGGAGAATCTTGACCGAGGTCGTGAGTACAGACCGAACGCAGTGAGGTCTGTACACACA